ACCACGAATTATTCGTACGGGAGTGAAGAATGTTGGTAAATATTCGCTGAACAGACTCCCGTACGAATAACAATCGCGAATAATTCGTACGGGAGTGAAAAATGTTGGTAAATATTCGCTGAACAGACTCCCGTACGAATAACAACCACGAATAATTCGTACGGGAGTCGTCAGAAATTCTGTTGCGTGACACTTCCCGCCGTCAGTACGGAAGGGAAAAATCTTGATAAATATTCGCTACGATGAGTTTAAAAAAATCACTGAATGCACTCGTCGATTATGATGGAGTCACCTTAAAGTAAAGTCTTCAATTTAAATCAAATACATAAGTTTCTCTTACCAGATGTAAGCCTAGGATCTTGCTCTTCTACGAATCCCTCGACATCGATGACTCCCTTTGCTATCGTTGAATCCAACAATGCGAAACATGCACAGACTTGCACGATGAAATACAGTAAAATAAGTAACCCAGAATAACCAGAACTACTAAATATGAGCAGCCAGCGAAAAGAAGGCTGCCCAACCATGACCATGAGAAAAAATACATATTTAAGAGCTGGACTCTTTTATCAAAATTATATTAGATAATAGTAAATAAAAGTTAAAAAACTCTTGAAACCTTACCAAAAAAAATCTTCTTCATCATCGTTCTTTGGATTTTTAGTTCCAAAACTACTTCAAGTTAGATATCGTAACGAAAAGAGCCGGGATTTTTTTGGTCGCTCACCTATAAAGCATGCAGTTTACCATATGAAAAAGAATTATTTACCAACTGTTCCAGATGTTGAGCGCATCGCTACCAAATGAGTTGGAATCTAGTCGCGCAATGCATTATTCCTCACAACGAGAAATTCCAATTATTTTCAATTCTGTTATCTCTTGTCAAAACAAAATTATTTTCCACCAACAACGAACAATAATACTTCTAAATGATATGTGGCGTATACATGTCTTTCCACTGTTATTTTTTGATATATATTTTGAGTAAAAGCTACTGTTTATCGAGCCAAAGACCTAGAACTAGGAAATATTGAGCTACGAACAAAACGTTCGCTGATTGGCTAATTCGGTTGGACTTAGAGAAGCGAAATCACCTGGTTAGGAATGGCGCCATTGTATGTCAATATTATCTGAATTGAGAATATTCAGCTGTGAGGACAACAGAAACAGAAAAGAAATATTTGAACAGACTGGAATTGGTATATGTATTCTTCATGACTCAGTGCGAATCCAGATATTCTACGCATTGAAGTCCAGATTTTGGCAAAATTCGAAAAAAAAAATTTCCTTGGAAAAAAAATAGTTGTTTCACTTTTTGCTGTTCAACTGATTTGTTGGCTCTGTAGCCTGTGTACGACGAACATTGAACCTTAGTGATATTTTTATAATAATTTTATGTCTTTTTTATTGACTATTTTACAGCGTTATAAATGGAACTTGTTAATGACATTTCACTTGCGAGGCAAACACTTTCATCACAAAATTTTGATAGAACTCGAATGGTAGTATTTTTACTCTGCTGCTGTTACGAGACCAGGATTTCTAGAGCTAACACTACCCTTGCGATATAACGTCATTTACTACAGCTACCAGAACCCCTTGCGCACTTTCTTTTACTCAGTCAATAGACCTAATAGCGCAGCGAAACCGTGACGTCATAAAAACGAAGACAAAGGCGAAATTCGGACAAAGAAACTTACAAGTTTACTTTCAGCAGATAATTTTCACAGCCGATCGCAGTTGATCTTAGTTTACATGGGTTATTATTGTAACTTTAAGTAAAAATAATAAAATCGGTTCGTATAATCCCCATAGCGGTTAAACAGAATGCAATGTTTGTCCGAATCTTTAAGCTATTTTTAGAATTAGTGCGCTGCGCTATTACTTTCGTATGTAAATTGCGCATTTCAGATCATGTGATGTTTACGTTGCGCACAAGTTGCAAGAGTGTAAACTTGGTGTAAGGGAGAATCAATCGTTGCCAAAAGTAGAAACGAATTCTACTTTTCGCAACGATTGCTGCAACTTGTCTCCCAACATTTTTTAAAATTGCGCTGTAGGTTACACGCTGCAATGCTCCATGCAACTGGTGCTCCATGCAACTGGTCATGCAACAAGTTGCAGAGAAAATAGCTCCGTGTAATCGCCTTTACTAAGATGATACAGTTATTTTAAAAAAGGATGACGAAGGTTATGTTGCATGCTGCTTACTAAGCTTAAAATCTGTCATATTCATATGTAAATAATGTCAGCACACAAAAAATATGCCGGGAATACGTGCAGACAAAGTTTGGGAAAATACCATATTATTTCGACGTTTCGCTGATTTCACTCACATCGCCCATAGTGCAGTACCGGCTTGGTATACAGAATGCAACAACACCTTCACCAATCTTTTTTGAAAATAGTTGTATTGATGGATTGCAAGCATTCTCAAGAGAGTCAAAAGACAAAAGCATGGCGGCCATTGTGGTGCCGTTTACAATGGATGCTAATGAGAAATCTTTTGTTAAATGGCACCAACATGGCCGCGATGACGTAACGTGCAATCCAAGAATATCGGCAAGTGATTGTAAACTGCAAAAGTTCTATTCAAAATCCATCCAGCAGAGCCTTCCAAAAGGGGCTGTTATATTATAACTGTATTGTTACTGCGTCCGTCATTTTGTTACAGAGATCCAAAACATCAGGTTTTCATAGTAGACAAATATAGCTATTAGCATTTTTGATTTAGACCGCCTTGTGAGTTTTGACTTTTTTTAGCCAATCACATTGGGTTATCGTAGAGTGTACACTAGTATTTGGGAGCATGGAATTCACCCCAGCCATGGAAGTTTCTTTTGAACATGTGAGTTTCCCTGCCTTTGAAGGCCACGCGTAGTTTACGCATTGGTCCACTTTGAAGCTGGTGTACGTGCTGGATGTAGAGCTGAAACAACAATAATCGATCAATCAATCTGTCTGTTTGTCTGTCTGTCTGTATCTGTCTGTCTGTCTGTCTGTCTTTCAGTCAGTCAGTTAGTCGGTCGGTCGGTCGGTCAGACGGTCAGGCACTACGTCAGTCAGTCAGGGACACATTCATTCCTTCCTTCCTTCCTTCCT